CCATTGTGTATCATCCCCTAGCCTGTCGCTGGCAAGCCTGATAGGTTCCCCTTCCCCCTTCACCTCTAGTTTAAAGCTCTGTCAATGAGCCCCGCGAGCTCCTGGGCAAAGATCCTCTTTCCCCTTTGAGAAAGATGGTTCCCATTTGATGCCAGCAAGCTTGGTGCAGTGTATGTTGTCCCATGGTCAAAGAACCCAAAGTTATGCCGGTGACACCAGTCACGGAGTCATGTGTTAATAGACTGAGTCTGCCTATGTCGCTCAACATCTCTGCCCACCACTGGAAGGAGCGATGAAAAGATAACCTGTGCTCCAGATTCCTTTACTAATTGTCCTAGGGCTTTGAATTCTTTTTTAATTACCCTCGGGCTACTTACTGCAACTTCATCCGCACCCACGTGGAAGACCAGCAGACTTCTGCAAGGTCATGCAAGAAGTCTTTGCAGAGCTGAGGACTGAGCATTTCAGAGTCCCAGTCTAACTTCTTTAGCTTCTTATTATAGGTCTCTTAAAACTGCATGCATTCTCTTTGCTTTTCAGAATCATGAAGGTCAGTACAGGTCTGAATACAATGCAGCAGGCAAGGAGGATGGTAGGGTGAGGGGGGTAGGGAATAAGCTGGCATGCCAGCAAGGGGCGCAGTGCCTCTGGGGCTTTTCATGCCAGGAACACTGTATTCTGTGCATCTCATTACCTGCTGCAAATCAGAAAATGTGACCCCTGAGGAAAAGGTTATGACCTAAATATGCAGAGTTTGGCAAAGCCCATGCTAATGAGGCACTAGTGTAAGTGGCAGTGGTCCCATCACTTGGGTTATTTAAATTAGACTGAACAAACCACTAAGAAAATGTAGTGTCAGGCACAACCAGGGACAGGCCAGCTTGACATTATCTCAAACTCTTTAGATGGTCAGTGCTGCTCAGCTTCCTAGCCTGATGCTCTCTGTGGTGTGTATACAGGTGGGCAGGGTGTCCTGTGCTCCTTGTCTTTTGCTCTGTGTGCCACTGCACA